CAATTTAATGTTTATATTTTATTTTATTTTTGCCTGTATTTCAATTTAGTGATTTTGTTATGTGCAACATTTGTAATTTTTGTTTAGTTTAAGTTTTTCAATTTAATGTTTATATTTTATTTTAGCTTTTATTTCAATTAGCAAAAATAGTGTTTTAGTTACCAGTAATAACCGTGCACATAAACAGTCGAATGACTTCAGAATATAACATGCATTTTAATTGAATTACATGTTTGTTAATATAGTGCTTTATACAATACAGATCATTTCAAAGCAGCTTTGCATTAATAAACTGGAAAATAACAGTTGCAAACAATATTGCAAAATTCAGTGTCGTTCTTCAGCTCAAATCAGTTCATTGTTGATTCAGTTCAGTTCAATAACGGTGTCGATGTTCAAAGTTAGATACACATAATATGGGCTTTTATGGCTCTTTTATGTCAGAATATTGTGGGTTATTTGTACTTGTAAAGATTCAAATGCAGGTTGATCTTCATCACGTGTTCATTGTAGCGTTGTTTCCTGGCAGACAGATAAAAGCCTGCGCATCTTCAGTCCTAGAAGTGAAACAGAAACCAGCCAGTCAGACTGAAACATTGCATATTCACCCGTATCGTGCTGTATGTGTGCGGTGTGCATCATATATGTGTCTTTAATTTGATTAAATTTATGCAATTTTAAAAGTTCCTTATTTTGTTTTGGAGTCTCCTATAATAAGTTCACATGCATCCAAGGTAAAAAAAAACACTTTAACAATCACCTGATTTCTCAGAGCCTGAAACGGTTAGTTTGAAGATTCAGTCTCTCTAAACCCCGCCTCTCTGAGAGCTGCTCTGCTCTGATTGGTCGGACGGCTCAGTCTGTTGGGATTGGCTGACTGGATACAGCGCATGTCAGAAACCAAATACTCATTACCATATCTTAATTTCAGCGCTTGTGATGTGAACCGTAACGATGGCGTTGGTTTAACCTTATAAATCTCAACACAGAAAACAGCACAACTAAACTCAGATACACTAGAGTGTTTGAGGGCGGGGCAAAGAGACGCTGTTCAGCCAATCAACACCACAGGCTGGCATTATGCAAATTTGTTACATTGTTACGCAAGTTTGCAGCAGGAAATTAGATAAATCTTTCCAGACCTTTTACACTCACAAACAGCTTTATTACACACGATAGGAGCACTTTAAAGATGCAGCACAACTAATATCAGTCACAGAAGCGTTGTTTCCTCTCCTCGGTGTCCGTTCTTCAGATCACTGCGATGAAAGACAGACACAGACCGGCTCTCGCATGACAAATCTCTTCTGTGTTCGTGTTCTTGATGTTAATGCAGGCTGAAAGGATTCGGTGTGTGTGTGTGTGTGTGTGCTGTGCCCACGCCTGCATCTTCTCATTGCTTTATTCCTCTCTTTCTCTTTCTGCATCAGACACCTGTATTCTGATCATGTCACAAGCGTTTACCATCCATGTTTGTGCCGCGCGGCTCGAGGAGAAACTCGTTATTTACCCAAACTAACAATGAGGAGATGTGCCGTGACACACCAGGCCTCGTCCTCACGCCTCCCACGAGCCTTTAATCCAAACCTACAGAAGACAATCGCCTCGTGACGGGAAGTGAATGTGTTTGTTTCAAACATGCGCCCACATCCCAGAGTTTCTTTGCTGGTAACTTAAGTTGTCAAAGTACAAAATCTTCTGACTAGATGCAGTCAAACTCTCTCACACCGGCCATCCTGATCTCGTCTCGTCCGATGTTACAGTTTTGTGCTCTGTTGTGGTGATATATTAAATATACATGATCTATTTGCAATGATTCTGTGTCACAGCTCAAGTAAGATAACATCTCTGAATTGAACTGAAGTGTGCGATACATTTTTTGGTTTAAATGAATGGATTGAAAACTCTGAAGGAAATTAGCTTTTCATGTAGTAAAATGTATGTAGGTATATTTATTATGAATTGTTATATTTGTGTATTACGGAAGGGTATTGCATTCACTTGAAGAAAAAAATCTACTCTGTTTTTCTGAATTAATGACTTAATTATCTCAGAATTATGAGATACATTTTTTGGGGGAAAATTTTTTCACTCTGTTTTTATGAATTGAGTTACTCATAATTTTGAGATAATTAAGTCATTAATTCAGAAAACAGAGCAAAAACTTTTTTTCCATGAAAAATGATCTCGTAATTCTGAGATAAAACTCGTTAATTCAGAAAAACAGAGCAAAAACTTTTTTTTCATGAAAAATTCTCTCGTAATTCTGAGATAATTAACTCGTTAATTCAGAAAAACAAAGCAAAAACTTTTTTTTCATGAAAAATGATCTCGTAATTCTGAGATAATTAACTCGTTAATTCACAAAAACAAAGCAAAAACTTTTTTTTCATAAAAAAACATCTTGTAATTCTGAGATAATTAACTCGTTAATTCGGAAAAACAGAGTAGATTTTTTTTCCTCAAGTGAATGCAATACGCTTCCGTAGTGTATATAAATTAATCATTTACAATTTTTTTCTTGTTCATGGGTTTTTATTGTCTTAGTTCTTATGTTAAACATTTTAAATCTTCTTCATTATACAATGAGTGAAATTATGGTTTCTTTTAACAAATTGTAAACCAAAAATATTGTGATTTACTCTACCGTTTAAAAGTGTGGGCTCAGTAAGATTTCTTTTGTTTTTGAAAGAAATTAATACTTTTATTTAGCAAGGATGCATTAAATTGATCAAAAGTGACATTTATAATGTTACAAAAGATTATATTTCAAATAAATGCATGTGCTTTCTATTCATAAAAGAATCCTGAAATATAAAATGTGTCATGGTTTCCACAAAGCAGTTTTCAACATTGATAATAATCATAAATGTTTCTTGAGCATCAAATCATCATATTAGAGTGATTTCTGAAGGATCATGTGACACTGAAGACTGGAGTAATGATGATAAATTCAGCTTTGATCACAGGAATAAATTACACTTTATTATATATTTACATAGAAAACAGCTGATTTAAAGGATTAGTTCACCTCAAAATGAAAATTTCCTGATAATTTACTCACCCCAATGCCATCCAAGATGTTCATGTCTTTCTTTCTTCAGTGGAAAAGAAATTAAGTTTTTTGAGGAAAACATTTCAGGATTTTTCTCCACACGATGGACTTCAAGCGCACCCAACATGTTGAAGTCCAAATCAATGCAGTTAACCACAATTGCTGGTCTGCGACGCGCCAGGCATTACGTCATCCCGTTGGAAACGTCACGCGTCACGTCATCTATCCAAGTTATTTGTCTGTGTAATCCGGTTCAAAAAGGCAGGGAAGGGCGAAAAATTCCATCTCGTTTTCTCCTCCAACTTCAAAATCGTTTGACATCTTTGTTTTAATTTATTATTATTATTATTTTTTTTAAGTTTTTTTTGCCCTCGAGTTCGAGTCATTTGATTTTGAGTAGCCTATCTACCGATACCGAGTCCCGATCCGATACTTATATAATATATAAAAAAAGAATAAAGAAGAGAGAAAAAACAGATGTTCCTTATTTTTTATTTAATTCACCTTATTTTAACATTCAACAACTCTGTTAACAGTTAACAAACAGAGCACTTCTGTGAGATAGCTTGAACAATCAAGTAATAAATAACATAAAATCTTCACTTTTGGACTTAAGTGCAACAGTAAATATAGAAAAAGTCTAATATAAAAAAATAAATAGCACCTCAACTTAAAATACCAGGCAGGCATGTAAACAAAAAATAAAAATGTTTTAAAAGTGTATAAAAAAATAATGAGAATATACCGAACCGCAAATTTTGTGAACTGTTACACCCCTAATGTATATACATTAGGGGTGTAACAGTTCACAAAATTTGCGGTTCGGTTCGATACAGCAAAAAGAAAGAAATGCCAGAGAAATTTCCTATTTATTAAAAGAAAAACTATTTTTAAATAAGTTTGAGTTTTCCTACATCTCGAAACTTTCATGTTTATAAATGGGGGTAATCTTTGAAGGATGAACAAATAATGTTTTGGTAATCACATTAAAAATAACATTTAAATGTATATTTATATAATATTTGAGTTTTGAAGTGCAACATTAATCCATGTTCATTCACGGCACAATGTTTCTCCTGGTGTCCACGTCAGCGCTGTTTGATCTAATAGAGATCTACGGTTAATAATGGAGAAATGTGAATGCTTCTCACTAGATCTCGCAGCGATGTCATTACTTCAGTGGCGAATTCAAATGTTTTCTTCACTGGATCTCTTAGCACAGTGTTGCTTGATCTCGCGCTGCACAGATGTTGCTGATCCGAACTGATAAATGGTCCGTTAAGCACAATATAATGAGACAATATTCATTACGTTTTCCATTTGATGTTGCGCAACGTTGTGGTGATCGCGCCACCGCGGATTTTGTCTGCAGGAGAAATGGTTCTAGGAATCGTTCGGTTTGTATGCGTACCGAACCGGAAGCCTCGTACCGAAACGGTTCAATAATTACGAATACATGTACCGTTACACCCCTAATTTACATATATCCGAGTCCTGATCGGGAGGTAACGTCCGATTCCGATCGAGTCTGAAACCAGGTGATCGGGCCCGATTTCCGATCGCGTGATCGGAACATCCCTATTAAAAAGTATATATATATATATATTTTTTTTAGAAAATGACCGATCGTTTCGCTAGATAAGACCCTGTCGTGCAGAGCCGTTTGAAACTGGATTGATTTGGACTTCAACATGTTGGTTGCGCTTGAAGTCCATCGTGTGGAGAAAAATCCTGAAATGTTTTCCTCAAAAAAATTAATTTCTTTTCCACTGAAGAAAGAAAGACATGAACATCTTTGATGGTATTGGGGTGAGTATTTTCATTTTGAGGTGAACTAATCCTTTAAGTTGCAATACATTGTATTTTTGATTGAATAAATGCAGCAGAAACTCTCAAAACTGTTAAAGGCCAGTCCTCCTCTGATCCCCTGAATCTGTCGTTTCAGCGATGGAGTTTCATGAGAATCTACACGACATGGCGGTGAAAGAAGGACTGAAGGGAAGAAAACTAATCAAATCTGTGGAGAGCTTCACCTGGAACATCACAATCCTGAAGGTGAAACATTACACCGCCAGTTAGCACCTGTGGAGGAGGACTATTCCCCTTTGAGGATTTGCATTATTTATGCATAAGATTTTAACATTCAGATGCGTTTCAAGATGCTGTGATGTTATCTTGAATATATAATATTTTCACAACCAATGTGGCAGTTTTGTGGACATTTGTTTAATAGGAAGTTGCACAACAAGTAGTAGAAATCAAAACCGCACCGTTAACTGGAGTATTTCATTCAAGAAATGCAAATCTAGTGTTACGAAAGGCAGCCAAAGAACAGTGTTAAAGGTTGAGGTACAAACATTAATCCTGCAGTATAAAGACAGCTATAGATGATTAATGGATGCAAGACCCGTCACTATTTAATATGCAAATGAATGCAAGAAAGAAGACCAATCACAGTTACTGAAAATGCATTTATTCATGTATTATATTCAATTCATCAGAGCAAATGTTCACCACTTAGATTTTGAATATGATCATTCACAGAACTTAGAAACAGACTTTGTAAAAAATTATTTCTTACATAAATGGAATAACAAGAAAACCACTTGTTAAAAGGAGATGAGGGTGAGTAAATGATTAAAAAAAAGTAAAACACTCATTAAATATATATCTATACACATGCACACCATTGGAAATAAGATGTTTAATCCCAGATCATTTCAAACTGAGACGCCCCAGCTGGACAGAATCGATTCAAGTCACACCACCATTAAAGACTATTAAGGTGGCGATTTGGTTTGCTTAAAGTCATTAATGATAATTAAAGTGTCTGATTTACACAAGGCTGTTATTCGAATTGTCCAATCACAGCTCAGCCAAGATATATAATAATATCACCTGATGTTTTCATCATTATGTCTCGAATATGTCTCCTGCGAGCACTATTGATCAGTGTTTGATGGCAGGGCTACAGTACATACATCACTCTGAGTCAGTGTGTGTTTCTGCACGTGGATAAAGCTCAAAATATACACACCAAATTCACTCACACTCTTCTAAGTTTTGATCTCAACAAAATTGTGATGTTCTTTAGTGTGTGTGTGAGCGAGCGAGTGTGTGTGTGTGTGTGTGTGAGCAAGAGAGAGAGAGCGAGTGCGAGAGAGAGAGAGAGTGTGTGTGTGTGTGTGTGTGTGTGTGTGTGAGAGAGCGAGAGAGAGAGAGAGAGAGGGAGCGAGTGTGTGTGTGTGCGAGCGAGAGAGAGAGTGTGTGAGCGAGAGAGAGAGAGCGAGTGTGTGAGCAAGAGAGAGAGAGAGTGCGAGAGAGAGTGTGTGTGTGAGCGAGAGAGAGAGAGCGAGTGTGTGTGAGCGAGAGAGAGCGAGAGAGAGCGTGTGTGTGAGTGAGAGAGCGAGTGTGTGTGAGCGAGAGAGAGAGAGAGTGCGAGAGAGAGAGTGTGTGTGTGAGCGAGAGAGAGGGAGCGAGTGTGTGTGAGCGAGAGAGAGAGCGTGTGTGTGAGCGAGACAGAGAGAGAGAGAGAGAGAGCGAGTGTGTGTGTGAGCGAGAGAGAGTGAGTGAGAGCGTGTGTGTGTGTGTGTGTGAGCAGGAGAGAGAGCGAGCGAGCGAGTGTGTGTGTGAGCGAGAGAGAGAGCGAGTGTGTGTGTGTGAGCAAGAGAGAGAGAGCGAGTGCGAGAGAGAGAGAGTGTGTGTGAGAGCGAGAGAGAGAGGGAGCGAGTGTGTGTGTGTGTGCGAGCGAGAGAGAGAGAGCGAGTGTGTGTGAGCGAGAGAGAGAGCGAGTGTGTGAGCAAGAGAGAGAGAGAGTGCGAGAGAGAGAGTGTGTGTGAGCGAGAGAGAGAGGGAGCGAGTGTGTGTGAGCGAGAGAGAGCGAGAGAGAGAGCGTGTGTGTGTGTGTGAGTGAGAGAGCGAGTGTGTGTGAGCGAGAGAGAGAGAGAGTGTGTGTGTGAGCGAGAGAGAGAGAGAGGGAGCGAGTGTGTGTGAGCGAGAGAGAGAGCGTGTGTGTGTGACAGAGAGAGAGTGTGTGTGAGCGAGAGAGAGTGAGTGAGAGCGTGTGTGTGTGTGTGTGAGCAGGAGAGAGAGCGAGCGAGCGAGTGTGTGTGTGAGCGAGAGAGAGAGAGAGAGTGTGTGTGAGCGAGAGAGAGCGTGTGTGTGTGAGAGAGAGAGAGAGTGTGTGAGCGAGAGAGAGAGAGTGTGTGTGTGAGAGAGAGAGAGAGAGAGAGAGAGAGCGAGTGTGTGTGTGTGTGTGAGCGAGAGAGAGAGTTTGTCTGTGTGTGTATGTATATAATAATTATAATATTATTGTATTATCATACATAAGTATAATTATTTTGTGTATATATAAATACCCACACATGCATGTATATATTTAAGGAAATATTTGCATGTATATACTGTATTTATATATAATTTGTATTATATATAAACATACATGATTATACATAATTTATATATAACACATTTTTCTTAAATATATACCTGCATATGTGTGTATTTATATATACAAAATAATTATACACAGTACAAACACATATATTATGTAAACAAACTTTTATTTTGGATGCGATTAATCATTGCCCAGCACTAATATATATATATATATATATGTGTGTGTGTGTGTGTGTGTGTGTGTGTGTGTATATATATATATATATTATATAAGAGAAGAATGAAGTGTGTGCATTCCCGCTAGAAGACTTGTGAGTGAACTCTCCCTCGTCTCTGCTCGTGTTCTCAGGGTCAGGCCGATCTGTTGAAACACGCCCGGGCGGAAGTGCTTGAGAACCTGAAACAGATCCACTACGCCGCGCTCACCTGCAACCTGTCCAAAGGAGGAGCGGGACCCTCGTCGGGGTCTCAGTCCAGGGGCCGTCCCAGTCTGGAGGCCATCCCGGAGAAAGCCATCGTGGAGGAGGACTTCACAGACCAGGAGAACTGAGGAGAACCGGAGCGTCACATCCCATGAGTCCTCTCTCCCCGGCTCAGCGCGCACCGAACACATTTGGAAAGATCTCAGGACGGTTCTGAAGGCCTCGTCTACTTCACATTCCCGCCTCCCGGGATCAGGTGGGTGTCGATGAGGCGGGTGTTTCTCAAAGGCCTTCCTACAAGCACAAACGTTAAGAGGAATCAGAACTGGAGCCGTGAATGTAACGAGAGGTCGTGTGAGGAAAGAAGAGAGCTGTTTACAATAAAGAACTACTTTGCGTTCTGTCTGCCAAAATAGTATGTGTGTGTATATACAGTATAAATATATATAAATATATATATATATATGGAGATCTGTTACCTTTTTTGCTATGTGAACTTTTAATGGATCAGATTATTTTGTTAAAAGAAATGGATGTTTTAAAGAGCTCATATTTTATTTGCTTGTACAGAACAGGATCTTATGAGACGGGGCCCGGCCCTTTATGGGCTTTTTTTTAATTATTTGTATAAATGCAGGAGGGATTTGAGGATGTGTCCAGTTTGAGATATTACCAGCAGCTACTGTACAAGTGAATAGCTGAGTCTCTGGGACGAGTGTTGGCCATGAACACACTGCAGTGTAAATCGACGATGTACGTTTAGTCATTTAGTGGATGCTTTCATTCAAAGCGACTTACTAATGAAAAAATATTTCGATTTTTGCCATTGTGTGTTTAAAAAAACAAAACATGAATGGTTCTCAACCTTTTTGACTCCAAAGTCCAACATTGTCCACAACAATATTGAAAACTTGTATTAATCCGCTGTATTTATTTACTCAGTGTGTTGGTGGCCTTTGAGAGCGGACTGAATACTGTATGTCAAGTGTTGAGATCTAAAGCTTCTCAAGCATTCCTGGAAACAAAGTAGTTTGGAGACTGTTCAGATATGATTCTGCCTTGTTGCTGAAGTTTTGCCTTTTTTTAACCCAACAAGTTGCTTCTAGTTTGTGAGTGTTTGTCTCCAGCTCATTCCATTGCTCTTCTTCTCATTGTGCCAATCTATCGTTGAACCACTTCCATTGGATTTACACATTGTGACCAGAGATTAAACTGGACATGAAAAAAAACAACTAATTTGTTTATACATTTCAGTGCTGTTATTGTGTATTTATAATTATGGTTAACCATTTAAGGAGTGGGTGATAGTTCCTAAGAGAATATCAGTTTTGTTTAACTCTGTTAAGACCTAGTGCTCTGAAATAAACCTTGAGAATTACATTCTTTAACTCGTTATAGTTTCTAATTGCACTCATTCCAGCTGGAAATGTCACAAAGCCAAAAAACAAAAACAACAACAATTAAAGGCTTAATTTCATAAATATTTCATATAGCCTATTTTTAAAACCATTTTTTTTTTCAATTTTTTGCAATTGTGACATACACAGACACACACACACACACACACACACACACACACATATATATACACCCATCAAAAGTTTACAGCCTGATATTTTTATTATTTTTGAACGAAGTCTAATGTTCACCAAGGCTGCATTTGTTTAATAAAAAATACAGTAAAAAAAGTATTATTACAATTAAAAATAGCTGTTTTCTATGTGAACAAGTGAAGTGTAATTTATTCCTGTGATCAAAGCTGAATTTTCAGCATCATTACTCCAGTCTTCAGTGTCACATGATCCTTCAGAAATCACTCTAATATGAGGATCTGATGATCAAGAAACTTGATTATTATTATTATCATAATGTTGAAAGCGGTTGTGCTGCTTCTTATGTTTGTTTTTGTGTTTGTAATGTTTCTTCATTATATTTTTTAGGACTCGTTTTGTAACAATCTAAAAGTCTTTACAGTCTCTTCTGATCTTTATAAGAATCTTACTGACACCAAACCTTTGAATGGTAATATATAAACCCGAGTATTTGCTGAAAGGTTTTATGAGATTCCAGTTATATTGGATTTACAGTTATTCTATTAAACTGTAGACTTCATTAGATGAAGTGATGTCCTTTCGGCATAAGAATGTGTCCAGGTAAGCCCAACAAAGAGTCACTGAAAGCAGCGTCTGTCGTGTGTGTGAAAGATCATTAAATCACGGGTCTCTGGCGCTCGCTGGACTCTAAAGTACACAGTAATGACACCCGAAAGAGATGATATACAAGCTCTACCTCTGTTTACCTTCCAGCCATTAGATGAATCACACTTGGCTCTCGCTCATGAGCTTGCGTAACAGCAATCGTAATAATGATTGCGACGAGAGTCTCTAGTGTTATTACCCAATAGATCTCTCTCAGACGGGTGCGTTTGAACACGACCCATCCTGAGAGATCTATAGCAACCCTGGAGAGCCAGCACAGATTTTTCACTCAATGACATGACGCTCTCGGACTGAAGGCATTACTATTGATTACATTACAATCTGTGGAAAGCGATGGAAAAACCCCAGGGACATCGGGGACTGTTGTTGGGGACACCTGGGAAGGTTTGACACTGACATGCTCCACTGAATTCATTTGTTTTAACCTCTAATGTGGCATTAAGAGGAAACCCTTCATCAAAACCCATCGGCTGTTCAAGATCTCACAAAGATGTGACGCTGCCCCTCACAACACCTCCCACCTCACCAAAGTCTCGCCAATATTAAATCAAGCTTTTAATGTTGTTTATGTGTCTATGTGGTGTTTTTAATATGCTTTAAGACAAGCCGTGTGTAAGTTCATAAGTCGACAGCATTGCTGAGTATTTTCTGCTTAAAACTGCAGTGAACCAAAGACAGTCTCAAAAACACGGTTTGAAATCGCTGGTGTTTCTGACGCCACAAACGACCTTGTAACCAATCAGATCAACGTGTGATCGTCAACCAGTGGATCTCTGAGCTGAGTGAGTGAGTGGAGGCGGGGCTCATTTGCATATTCAACCGCGAATACTAAATGAGGCATGGGTGTCGAGTTACATTCAAGATATTTTAAGGAATTTTTTTTAAAATATGTCATTTTGGTGATCAAAGGTGACTTTTAAGGGATGAAATTATTGACTACAATGCGTCAATGCTTTAGGACTTTAATGCTTCTGTTTTTTGTATTGCTATCAACATTAAAATAAACAAGTTAAAACCAGCATTCCCAGCACAAACTGACCTCAGATGATCCAAAAAGAGCATCTTGAGCATCAAAAACAGTCACGTGATCAATGTTGCTCATTTATGCGGGACAGTTAGTTCATGCGTTTATGACCTCAAGGCTAGATTATTGTAATGCTCGTATGGGTGGTTGCCCTGCACGCATAATAAACAAACTCCAGCTGGTCCAAAACGCAGCAGCTCGAGTTCTTACCAGAACCAGGAAGTATGACCATATTACCCCGGTTCTGTCAACACTGCATTGGCTCCCTATTAAACATTGCATACATTTTAAAATCTTGCATAGCATTATAGTCCCTCACGTCTATTGCAATCTGAACATTCTGGTCAGTTGATAATACCTACTATATCAAAATCAACAAATAATCAACTCTGGAACAATCTCGCAAGCGTTGGTCGGGAAGCAGACACACTCTGTCAGTTTAAATCTTGACTAAAAACACATCTCTTTAACCTGGCATACATGTAACACATCACATTTCTATAATTCAAATCCGTTTTAAGGGTTTTTAGGCTGCATAAATTAGGTCAACCAGAACCAGGAACACGTCCCAGTCCATAAATGTCATGGAAACATCTGCTGAATGTCACTCTAATGTACGCTATTTTTAACGTTGCACATCATTTTCTTAATCAGTACTTTGGACTTGACAAAAATAAACAAGGCATTTTCTTTGTTATGCCAATTCTGCACTCAACATTTTTTTTACTCTTTGGCTAAAGGAGTCAATCATAGACAGTGGGTCCAAATGATGGAAAAATGGGGAAAATCAATTAATTTCAACACGTCTAAGTTTAGTTGAGTTTATTCAATTCAGTTTAGTTCATCCTACTGTTACGTGCTTAAAGATGTAAACAGGATGATTGCGCAACATTTACGTGAGATACCGTTGCCATGTGTGCGAGTGGCAGAAACAACCAGGAAGACCAGGATTTACGTTGAAAACGTTTTAATTGAAGAGGTATATAAGACGTTACAAAACACATTATAAATGTAAAAGAAAACCGAATAATCAGAAAAACAAGTGTCGCCAAATCAATCAAAACATAACTCCCATACACTGTAAAAAGTGATCATTTGACTTAACTTAAAAAAAGTGAGGAAACCTGTTGCCTTAAAATGATTACGTAAATAAACGTCATGCAAAATAGAAAAAAATAAGGTACGCGGAATTTTCAAGTTCACATAACTTAATTTTTTCAATTTCATGAATCTTATTTCCTTAATAATTTTAAGGCAAATGGTTTCATCACTTTTTTTAAGTTAAGTCAACTGATCACCTTTTACAGTGATTTAACCCAAACCTCTAAAACTACCAACCAAAAGGAAAATGCAGAAACAAACCCCGAAATCTTCAGCGCATACGCCGCCTTAAATAAGCTACGCTGACTAAATAAATAGAAATGCAATGGGTGGCGATCACTCTCCAACTAACTAACAGAAAACAATGCTATCTACAGTGGTCTTTAAACCAAACTCAGGAAACACAAACGAAAATTAAACCTACAACACATTAGATTATCTGTGTTTAATCCAGTCATCGGTCACACGCACACAATGCATTTAATACGAGTTTCTAGTGATCTATAGCTCTGAAACAGTGCATTCCATCAGCAGCAATAATAACACAACCCGAAGAAGGAGTGTTAATCTCCGAACCATCGCATAAGCAGAAACATTAGCATTAACATTAACGTGGTCCTGATTTGGACAGACAGCTCCAGGCATGGGTGTTGGCTGAGATCTACCGCTCCTGGTTAATGGGCCTTTTAAACCGGAGGACAATTTACTGACAATGTAGACGTGTCCAAAAACGTTCAGGAAGTAAAGTAAATAGAAACATTGTTATATTATAATACTAATAGACAACTGAAGCAAAAGTGACTTTATTTATATTTTCAAAAATGAGTGAACAGCATTAATGCATAATTACCGTGAGTACAAGTGTATCTTGTGTGAAGAACAAAACATTCAAATCAACATTCAATAAACAGTCAAAGATTAAAGCTAGATTTACATCTCTCTGTAAGTTCATACTTGTTCACTATAGCCTATAAAAACGTCAAAAAATGTGCAATTTAACATTGACAACGCCAAGAAATCAAAGAAAATCCAGTTTCCCAATGGTGATGATGACATTGTGGTGAGGTTTATCTTATACATCGGCAGCAGAAGCCACAACATGCTGTCATGCCTTCAAGCTTCACAATCCTCACACTTTAAACAAATAAAAGCTAAAAGTAAGAGAACATACTTTTGTTACCTCACAGAGATGTCGTTTTAGACTAGTAGTTTACATTGATGCCTACCACAGGGTTCAAGATCTGCATTGGATCATGTCTGTGAGTGAACAAGACATGTAACAGAACCAGTCAACAAGATATACAAACACAGATGAGAACATCAGCCCATGTCCAGGCCAAATACTTTCAGT